ACTTTTAAAAGTAGCTGCGTCCCTTTACCTCTTCTCCCTATTTTCTGCAACTGACAATCGAATCTGTTCGAGGCGGAAAATATTTTAGACAAAACAAACGGCGCCACCAGTGACCCCCTGTCACACATCCAGGCTTTTACTACATGTCTGAGGACACATAGAAGCTGCATTTACCCAATTGAAACAAAAATGTAGCCAGGATGGGGGAGGTTATTGCTGCCTTAATCTTAGCAGACTTTGAAGGAGACAAAGATACAGCAGGACGGGAGACGGGAAAACAAAATGAAGCAGTCAGCACGAAACACTCAAAAGAGGCTGTGTTGATGACTAGAAGTGCTTGACCAAGAGGAGGGCCGGGCAAGGGTAAAATTTTACTCTAAAACCTTGTGGTGAATAAAAGTCTGTGAACAAAAGATTAAAACTGAACCACAGAAGACTTCACAATATTACAGGACTACGGGGCGGGGCGGGGGGCATAAAGGTCAACAAAATAGCAAGTGAATAAATTTAAGCTGAATGGCGGCTGGAGAGGGCTGGAATGGGATTATGAGGGAGATAGGAGAAGTAGTTGATGAGCATTTCACCGTAACTTAGAGTTGATAAACAACTGTAGTCGGTGCGACGTTGGCTATGCCCTTGCCGCGGTCCGAAGACGCACCTCTTCCGTTCGCGATGTTCTAAAGCAAAGCAAACGCAATATAAATATTATAGCTTCATTTCCAAGTTTCAGGGAAGCCACCAGTGAATGTACTCAGTGAAATAACAAATGCCCACGCGTCAAAGCAGGTGCACGGATGAGAGTTCCCGCAACATGACTTTTAACCTTACTGGTATGTGCCCGCGTATAGCGCGGTGGTAGGTGAAGTCGCCAGAAAAAAAGGGGTGCGGGGTGCGATGGTGGAGTGGTCAGATTTGGGAGGACAAAACTTACGCAGCGGGCTGTGTTGGTACCGCTGACTGCCCCGAGGCAGGCCCACTGGAAGACGAAAGTGCAAAGTAACAAGATAATGACTCCGATGGAATATTCGGTACTGAAGGAGAATAAAGCGCCTTTTAGGCTGTCAGTAGATTTCCGAAGCTAACACAACCATCCACGCTGAAAAAAGAATGATCAGTGATCTCGATGACAGAGGTTGACAACTAATCTGATGACTGCATAGCCTTCGGTGAAGCCTCTCCTAGGAGTAAGGGCGGCCGTTATTGTAGATAGAATAGTGGGGTGGACAGAACACCAATATCTGCATATAAAAGAGCTCACTGAGATTAACGACAATACATCATAACTACTCAACTGTTGTAGATATCTTGGACGACTATGAGAGCAAACTCGGGAGCCAACCTACGTTTCCAGGATTTGGCTGTGTTTTTGATTACTGCTGTTAGGAGGTGTAGATTAAATAAGTAATTCAGTCACGCTAATTTAACATGCTAAATTGGGTTTCAGAAATGACACCGCAGAACATTTATGCCACGCAAAAATGCAATTTTTTTACCGACAAATGGCGGCCACCTCAAAAGTTACGGCAGCTGAGAAAAGTAAGAGAAGTAAGCAAATCCGTGGATCGAATAGGGAGAAAGCAGCGTCACAATGACACAGATTTCAAACTCGTCCTTCATTACCCAGCGTTACGATTGCGCTAGAAATGCCTGTCAGAATGGTTGAAAGTATTGTAGAACAGCAGGTCTGAAATGTACGATCATTCATCTTCTGGTAGGCGATTTTATCGCATTCAGTTTCATTCGCAGTGTTAATGCCTTCACCTTGCCGGAAATGTTGGATTTACATTTACCTTTTTTTCCGACCCCTCATTCCTTCTAACTTCATATTGATAGTCTGGATCCCCTAATGACGGATTTGAAGCCAAAGAAACTTGAAGTTCCTCCGAGTTAGGTAATTTTCCAAGTTCTAATAGGAGAAGAATAGATTTTACCTCAGCATGAGCAGAATAGGATGTTCCGCTGGTGAAAGACATAATTCAAAATGTCGACCCTCTGCAGTATAGTATTCCAGCTTTTACAAGAAAAACGAATCATTGCATCATTTAAACAGTCAAGTTTCTACCTCACCCCTCAGTTCCTAGTCTGGGAATCTCCTATGTCTGCATTCATTCCATGATCCTTAACTGTCCTGCAATTATTTTCAGCTTCAGCAAAGAACGATAAGTTCGCAGTAAGACGAGTCTTCAGCGGTTTCCTTTTGCACCAGTGCGCTTAATCCCTTCTAGTCAACATCATTGGCTGACTGCATATTACGATCATGAAACAAATTTTCAAGTCGCGGCATACCCACTTGAGGCAAAACTGATGACAAGCAAGTCGGCTTACTTAATCCTCCGTCGAACGTCGACGTAATACATAACCACGATTCCCTACTCTGTCATTTCAAAATAAAAACCCATGGAACTGGTTATGTAGAGACGGCAAAATCCAGGATCGAAGCCAAACCAGGCAGAGATGCATTGGATGAGTCTAGAAATCTCAGGCATTGACCCCGCACAAGCTTCCCGGACGGATATTTTTAGGATACGGTTTAACCTTTAGAAGTAAATTTGTCATTCAGTTGGTGATCCGTTACCGAACTCCGAAGACTTTCAAATTTTATACCCAGTCCAGGTTTGACTTACAGTGATCCGGTTTTTAAGTAGGCTACTGTGGAAACTACACCAAATCAACCACGGATTCGGGTGCCTTCTTCGGGTTGACAGCATGTATGAGTGGGCTTTTTATCAATGAATGTCTCCAATTTATTCCATGCTTAAAGACGTTATCGGTGAGCTGAAGCCGTAGTTGTCTTCAGAAGCGACCGTCATTGAATACCTGAATCTTCCTGAATGGTTATCAGCGATCAGAGCTCAGGTTTCGAAGATGTCAAGATAAACGAAGATCTATACGCAAACTGAACTCTTTATCATTCACTAAACTTATAAACGATAGTAAGCGCAACTGCGAGAGACGACGTTTTAAATGCTTCATCACTCAAAGAATCAGAGACTTTGTTATCGCCACACCATAGGAAATCGTTAGAAAAAATGCAATCGACGACGTGTTAGCTTTCAAACACAAAGAAGCAGTCAACTTACCCCGTTTGAGGTTTTGTATTCTCTGGGGGAGCAGTCGTTTCAGACTTATTACCACTGTACAACCGACACATGGAAGGGAGTAAATTAGTAGAGTGGGGTGTTTATGTGAGGGCAATCACGCACTACTGCGTAGAAAGGGTTGTCTGAAAATGCACCAGCATGTCTGCATGGCGGCGCCGGGTTTAGTTTTCTCGGTTTTGACGAGCGGATAGCTAGCAAGCAGCCGGATGTGTGACGTAAGCAGTCCGGGTAGATACACCCGCAATTGGCACACGCTTGTAGCCATCTACCCGGTCAAAATGGAAAAGAATAAAATGGCTAGCCGCTAACAAACAGCAAGAAAGCGGAAACTAAGAACCATAGGTGCGTTGATTCAAAATGCTAACTGGAATGGACTTAAATTTCTATCGACAGGGCTCTTCGTTGGACTTTTATCGTGGATAAATAAGATAAACGCAGTGCTTTTCTTGTCTCGATTTAATGTCTGGTTCCTTCACATGATCTCTGCCTTCTAAAACCGATGTAAGACGTTGGGTCACTGTGTAACTGACGTTGGGCCTGGGCGGACGAGGGAGGCGAGAGTGTGGTAAATGCAACGCAAGTATAATTTCACTTAAAACTAATTCACGAGTAATTCACTGTCCCTGCACCACCGAGCTGCGAACACACGGTGAATATCGTCGGAATCGGCGGTCAACCTGTCGCGTAGTCGAACCAAACTCTTGGTTGGTTACTTGAAACACAGAACAAAAGTGTCGTGTAGTCAAAACCGCAATTTTTACTGTTCAAATTTAAGGCTTTTTAGTGGATCACGCACGTGGTCCGGATGGTCTTCAGAGCCAATCCGATACGATGGGAAAAATTCGGAGGTAAATTTTTTAGGCTAATTCCTGCTCTCTCCAGCCAACTAGGTCCAGTCAGTGCCAACGACGTGATTTGGTAACCAGATGAAACCAAAGTCTTACCAGTATTACTTGAATTTCCAGTCTTTTAGTTAGCTCTCAATAAGCTCTACTTGGTCACCTTGCGGCTAAACAATTGGTCATCCATTCACATTCGCAAATTTGTTTTGGGGCGTCAATTAGGTCAATATGCGCTGATTTCAGTTGTCTGCCATGCAGGACAACCATC